CCTCTCGTTGCTATGCATCACCATGATAGATCTTGCATGTGTGTAGGATTTTTTTTTGAAACTACTACATTCCCCAACACGAATACCACCGTCCTATATATCAATCTTCACCTCTCGACCATTTCGAGACTTCTCGTCATGGTCTTGATCTCATCTGGGACTCCGAACAACATTCAGTCACCAAATCATATAACTCATATAACACTATATCATCAACAAACGTTAAGTGTGTGAACCCTATGGGTTAGAGAACTATGCAGACATGACCGAGACACCTCTCTGGTCAATAACAAATAGCGGAACCTGGATGCCCATATTGGCTCCTACATATTCTATGAAGATCTTTATCGAGCGAACCTTATGACAACATACGTAATTCCCTTTGTCCATCGGTATGTTACTTGCCCGAGATTCAATCGTCGGTATCTTCATACCTAGTTCAACATCGTTACTGGCAAGTCTCTTTACTCGTTCCGTAATACATCATCCTGCAACTAACTCTTTAGTCACTTTGCTTGCAAGGCTTCTTATGATGTGTATTACCGAGAGGGCCCAAAGACACCTTTCCGATACTCGGAGTGAAAATCCTAATCTAGATCTATGCCAACTCAACAAACACCTTCGAAGATACCTGTAGAGCATCTTTATGATCACCCGGTTACGTTGTGATGTTTGATAGCACACAAGGTATTCCTTCGGTATCCGGGAGTTGCATAATCTCATAGTCGAAGGAATATGTATTTGACATTAAGAAAGCAATAGCAATAAACTGAGCAATCATTATGCTAAGCTAACGGATGGGTCTTGTCTATCACATCATCCTCCTAATGATGTGATCCCGTTATCAAATGATAACACATGTATATGGTTGGGAACCTTAACCATCTTTAATCAACGAGCTAGTCTAGTAGAGGCTTACTAGGGACACGGTATTTGTTTATGTATTCCCACATGTATTTAAGTTTCCGATTAATACAATTCTATAGCATGAATAATAAACCTTTATCATGAATAAGGAAATATAAAAAAAAACTTTATTATTGCCTCTAGGGAATTTTTGCTTCACCTACTTATAAGAAGAAGCGGAGAAGAAGACTATAAATCAAACAAAATGCCCTGCTAAGATGGCGGTGAAGCTAATAGATGGCAGATGGGAAGTTATCAACTTCATTGCGGATCACACCCATCCATTGATTGACAAGCCATCGCTGTCCAAATACCTTTGTTCTCATCAAGGCATCCCACCCAAAGATAAAAAATTCTGACTCACCTTAACGACTGCAACTTAACAACAGGAACAATAACCACCCCAACCTCCCATCCCCCCTAAAAAAAGCTTGCTCTGAAGTTTTTATTATTCCCGGCTATAGCAATTGTTATTTTTTCTCTAGTAAAAAAAGAACAAACCTGACAAAGTGTTTGGATCATGGGAAACTCTGATCCAAAAACCTAGCAACTTAAACTAGAAATAAAGGCAACTCTGTTGACTTTATGCAACTCTAATGAGAAACATGGACCCAGCATATCACTCCTCCCTCCACCAAAAAAGGAAAACAAAAAACTTTTTCCATAAACTTTATATAAATCCTAGTATGATTCTATTTATGTATATGAGTTGCTTCTATTCTATGCATAAGTTGCTTCCTACATTATGATTAGTTGTCTGAAATACAGTGGTTTACTTTGTTTTTGCTAGGCAGAATGATGATGATCATGTCGTCATACTATGGTTCAGAGTTGATTGTCCTTACACATGTAAAGCCATACACAACCACTGTTCAAAACTGAATGCCACAACTAAAGACTGCGACATTGGACACTCAACTACTTTTGCAAGGTGAAGGAAACATGCCCAGGGTTTTTCTTCAAGTGCAAGACGAATGCAGAAGGTAGGTGTGAGAATTTTTTTTGGGTGGATGGTGCGGCACAGAAAGCTTATGCGGAGGCTTATCATGATTGTGTATCGTTTGATGTAACTTATCTTACAAACATGTACAATATGCCATTCGCCCCCTTCACTGGTATCAAACAGGCATGGGCAGTTGATTATGCTTGGATGTGGCTTTGTGCGGCAGGATCTAGCCTCGAGCTATGATTAGTTGTTTGAAGCTTTTCTGGAGGCGATGGATGGATTGGCTCCGGACAACATCATCACGGACCAAGACATTACGATGGCACAAGCAATCAAGAGGAAGTTCCCGATGATGATACACCATTATTGCCATTGGCATATCATGAAGAAAGCGCAAGAGCAGCTTGGCTCTGTGTTGGCTAGGAACCCAGATTTGGTCAAAGACTTCAAAGAATGTATTGACTTTAGTTTCACCCTGACTGAATTTCAGCGGAAGTGGGTTGCACTTTTGCTAAAGTATGGGGGGGGGGGCCTATGCATGGCCACTTTGAGAAACTCTATGAAGACCGGGCTACATGGGTGCCATGCTACTTCAAGTTCAGGTTCTTCCCGTTCCTTCAATCGAGGCAATGCAATGATGGGTTCAATGATGTTTTGAAACGCTATGTGAACCCACACAAGTCGCTCCTCAACTTTGTCAAGCAATACGAGAAGATTCAGGTGCACATACTTGTTAGGGAGGGTGGGAACGACTACCACACAAAACATTTGGACGCACAAAGTTGGTCGCGTCGTTGAACATTTTCTTCAACGAATATATAAACATTGCCCTTGTGAGGCTTACACAGTGGCCCATGAACTAGCTAGAGTTGATAGATCTCCCCCAAGTTTTCTTAATAGTTTTTTGGTTAATGACGTAACTCTGGCGATCAATAGATAACTAAAATGGGTTTTGAGTGTAAAAAAATGCTTGGGCAGGACCTCTTTTTATGGAAGTATTCATAGCGACTGCTTGGGGAATCGTGCATGCGCACTTCACTGTAATGAAAAACCTCGAAAGTTTGTGGTACACATTTTCCTTTTGTGAGAAGACCAAGGATATAAAACTTTACAACCCTTACAAGATCATCCTTAAAAAGCAGAAAATAAAATACAACTCCTGCGGCATATCAACATCATGTTCCTCCTACACTCGGTGGCGACACGTTGTGAGTAAAACTCGATGCCACATCTAGATCTCCGAAACATCCCCAGGGCTAGGCTAACGTTGTTGACAAAGTCAACGGTCGAAGCCAGAAGAAGCCGCCAATAGCGAACTGAGGATATGATCGCCGTCCTAGAGAAGCAAGCGACGAAGGGGCTGGACAACCATCACAGATCCGACCAGACTAAATTGAGGAGGCCTTGCCTCAGTAGCTTCCCGACAAAGCCGAAGTTGACACAAGTTGCCTGGACGGAGAAGAATCTAAATGGCTCATAAACAGACCATCACCAAAATTCAATGGTTCTATAGTCTTGTCCAAAATTCAATTTAATGAGAATGTAACTGAGGTTCCAATTTCATTACAACAAATAACACACCGTTCTATTTTTGTCGGCCAGATTGCCACAATCTCGGGCAGGGCCGGCCCATAGGCCGGGGCAACGGGGCGACCGCCCTGGGCCCCTGGGAGGTAGGGGCCCCAACCCACGTAGTAGTATATTATACAGTAAGGCCCAAGCCCACCACGTAGCTAGCACTCACGGGCTAAAAGAATCGATAGCTAGTTTAGCTACGCTGCTGCAGCGCTCCATCGATCTCCTTCTGTCTCGTCCCCAGTTTCCTCGCCCCCTCGGCTCCTCCCCAAATTTTCCAATCCCAAAGAACAGTGCCGCCGCTCCGGTGCACTTCCAAATTCGAGGCGCCGCTCCGTGCATCCATTAATGGAGAGCAACGATGCTGTTCCTCTGCCCAATCATCTCTCTTTGCATCCTCAACGTTCCACATCTGATTGCAGACGCTTGAGGTATCACCGCATTAGAGATGGTATGTCTACCTCCTTCCCCTAATCAAGTACTCTTTTGATTCAAAATAGCCCGGCACTCCGCCTCTGATTGCTCCATCTGACATCTTCAATTCTTCTCTTCCTAGTTCTTACTCTACTGGCATGTTCTTCAAAGCTTCATTGGATCCATGCGCAAAAACAAAACAAAAAGCTTCATTGGATCCAGGGATTAGAAGGGGAGACGGGGAATGAGTGTTGTAGCCTTGCAGATGTGGGAAGCTACATCGACAATTCGACATCAAGCCATATGCCTATATTCAGGTGCTTTTCTCCTTGTATTGACTGTTTTTCTGTAATTTTTTGGTGATATGTCTTTTGAAAAATGTTTATCAGTGAGAAAAGAAAGTGAAAGAAAAACAATATATTATTGCTACTTTATGCATTGAGAAAGAAAATTTGGATGAAATAAATACTGATGTGGTTGTTGACGACTTTTCTTCCAGAAGTGCTAGGAGAAATAACAAGATCTGCATGTGTTTTTTTTCACCTCCCTTGCGGTTTTAGTTCAAAGTCCATCACTCTATGCTTGTATTTACTAAATTGCTTTGGACATACAATATATTCTAAATTTTTATCTGTATACAAGGGCCCCATTTTGTCGTCCCGCCCCAGGGCCCCGAATATGTATGGACCGGCCCTGATCTCGGGTGACAAAGGAACATGAATGCTACCAAAATAAAAGGAACATGAATGAGGAATAATTCTTCTTCAATGGCATATAAATAAATAGGCACGGTAAAAAAAGATGCAACCCAAGAAAAAAAGTAAAAAAAAATCCCATCTATCCATCCATTCATGCACATGCACGCACCATCATCTCTGCCGCACACTGCCCAAAGAGGGCCATCGGTTCTGGCTCTGCCCCTTTCATCGTCGTCTGAGGCATGTCCCCTTTCCGTGAAACGAAATGACTTTTGACCACTCGGGGGATCTCTCGCTAAAACCCACGGCGAGAATCAGGGGCGGTGAGACCCACCGTGAGTGAGTGCCTCACTCCCTCCTCGCTCCAGTGGTAACTGAAGCTTATAAACCTCACCCGGGCGACACCCTGCGGAGAGCAGAGAGAGGGGTTAGGTGAGAGAAGCAGAGCCTTTTTGTTGGGCATGGTGGGGAACAGGCGGCGGGAGCTGCAGGAGAGGGACAGGAGGCGGCGGGAGCTGCAGGACAGCGCGCGGCGGGAGGAGCTCGGGCGGGAGAGCAGGGAGGCGGCGGCGGCGGCCGCCATGGCGGCGGCGGGCAAGGAGAGGGCCAGGGAGAAGGGGAAGGGGAAGGAGCGGGAGAATGGCGGAGAGGGCGGCAAGTTCGGCCAGCAATTCGCCAGGGTGTTCCTGCCGCAGCTCTACGGGGAGAGATTGGTGAGCTCTTCTTGAAATCCTTGATTGATTTAGTGCTCGGCGAGCGTGCTGCTTGATTCTTTGATCGACCCAAATCGCTATCCATCTGATGTTGTTAGTGAGCCCATTTTTGGTAAATTTCAGAAAAATAAAACACAGAGAGACAGAGAGTTGTATCTGATCTAAAAGGGGTGTCTTTGCCTTTTATAGTTTTAATTATTGTGCATCTGATGCCAAAGGTGGAATGGATGTTTACTTATTGTGTTTTGTGAATCTTGTGCCATGTTGTTTTGAAAGATTCTATGCTGGTTCTGCTTTTGGATGTGGGAATAGATAAAGTGTTCCCCTGGATTGATCCACTATTCCACTGTCTGGTGACAGGGGAATTTCCTCGGTGGATGTGCATTCTTGACCATGGATGACATTCTGCTTTCAACATTAGTAGTATTTTTTTTGCCAATCTTTCTTATTTCAGTTGTCCTTGATGGGGATGGAAGAGTTTACCACAGCATTGTCCATGCTTACACCTTACACTGCTTGTGTCAGGGCTGAGAATTGTACTGTGTTCCATTTAGCTGGTTAGAGTTATCGCTCTGCTTTGCCATGCTTGCAGAGATAATGCATAATTGATATTTTGTGTGAATAAATGATATTTTATCTATTGATCTTATTGCTGCCTTAATGCGTTTACAGCATCAACATATATGTGATTCCGCGCACTAGTAAGAGAGGAAGTAAAATAGAAACAAAGAGGTAACTAGTTGTTAAATTAACTCATTCTTCATTTCAACAATGCCCGAAGTCATAAGCATAAATCAGAAGTATTGGAGTCCATATAATTAAGAAGAGCTTGGTTTCTTCTTTCTTGTGAAATATCCTTTAATCCCATCACGAGGAGTACCTTCCAATTGTCTATTCACTAGGAACACAATTTTTGTGTTGACACCAGGTACTGGTGAAATGGTGATGTTTTCATCGCATCGCTCTATGGACAACCTTTTCCAAAGTAGAGGGATAAAATTTAGCATTAAAGCTCAGGACCGAAGTGCATTTTACCCTTTTCTGAACTCATTAGAAAGTTCATATATTTATTATACTGTTTGTGTAAATTATTGCTTGGTTTAACGGTAGGCAGCGTCTTGTATTAATATACTATGTGTAAGATGCATTATGCATTAATTTGTCGTCAGGTGCATGGGAAAAGTGCTATTCAGATGTTGTGGCAATGTGTGTTGTGAATACTCATTTTTCATATTTTAGACTGTTATTTCAGGCTTGTTTTAATGGCGTAGTACAATTGGGTGGCATCTAGTCTGTCACATGATACGGCATATAGTATTTTTTTATAGCTTTGTCTACGAGCTGTGATCATATTACACATTGTTAACAAGTACTTATGTGTTGCTATTGAAAAAATAATAAGTCCTTATTTAATGATACTATGTAGAAAATTCCACCATCATTCAACCAGTACCTTCAGGATCAGCCTACTGGAGTGGTTTCCCTAAAAGGTCAAAGTGGCAACACATGGCTTGCAGAGCTGGCTTCAGACAATGAAGGATTGTTCTTTGTGAAGGGATGGAAGGAATTTGTCAGAGACCATTCGATTGAGATGGGTCACTTCTTAACATTCCGTTATGATGGACGCTCACAATTCTCAGTGGTCATCTTTGATGGAATGTGCATTGAGAAGCCTTCAGCTTTTCATGCTAAGCCTCGCAAGAATCTGGTTGTTAAAATAGAAAGTGGTAAAGGGGACATGGACATCAATGCAGCTGATCCATCACAAGTATCGGCTGCCCCCTTGGAGGAGAGTAATGAAACCACAAGGAAGAGGGTTACAGAAATGGATGCAGATGGCTCTACATCGAAGAAGCGCTCTAGTATCTTGGAAAACGGTATGCCTGAAGCTTCGGCTGTTACATGTAAGGTGGCATCAACGAGCCTTAACGTGGACATGAATACAGCTGACCCACCAGAGGCAGTGGTTGTTCCCTTAGAAGAGAGCAACCAAACCACTAGGAAGAGGGTTAGAGAAATCGATGCAAATGGCTCTGCATTGGAGAAGTCCTTGAGGGTTAGAGAAATCGATGAAAATGACTCTGCATTGCACAAGTCCTCGAGGGTTAGAGAAATCGATGCAAATGACTCTGCTTTGCACAAGTCCTCGAGGGTTAGAGAAATCGATGCAAATGACTCTGCGTTGCAGAAGTCCTCGAGGGTTAGAGAAATCGATGCAAAAGACTCTGCATTGCAGAAGTCCTCGAGGGTTAGAGAAATCGATGCAAATGACTCTGCGTTGCAGAAGTCCTCGAGGGTTAGAGAAATCGATGCAAATGACTCTGCGTTGCAGAAGTCCTCAAGGGTTAGGGAAATCGATGCAAATGACTCTGCATTGCAGAAGTCCTGTATTGCCTCAAACAAGGATAAGAAAAGGTGTCCTGCAGCTTCAGTCGGTACTTACAAGTCAGCTTCAACAAGTCTTGACAGTACTGAAGGTAAACCTGTCTTCAGTTTTGAAAATGGTATATGATTCATTTTGACATAGTCAACATAGTAACATCTCTAGATGCATAGGCCGGTGAGGATCTATCGTCTGTTATCTAACAAAAGTAGCTAGTAACAATTGGCAGTCTAATTTTTTGAACTGTTGGGGCGACAAGCCAACAATGTGTAGTGTGCATATTTGCACAATAATTGCATAAAGGACTTGTGCCATTCGTACCATGTCTAGACTAGTACACTGCAGCTTACATTATTGGTTGCCATTCATCGTCATAATTCAGAAGGTCATCTGGTGTGTCAATACATGCAAGTATTTGTTAGAGAGACCATCTCTGAGCTCTAGGTTAGAGATGGCTAATATCATTTTCTACTAACACTAGGTGTGAAAAAATAATGTGTTGACTATTTGAAAGTGGTAAGGATACATATATTTCACTTACAAAAAATATATTTCACTTACAAACATGCTCTCCATATCACAGATTCTGATTCCTCAAGCAGCATGTTAGAACAAAGTATCTCTTGCATCAAGTCTGAATTGACATCACCCATTCGGCTCGGAGTGAGTAAGGATGTTGCTAGACGTGGTCAAAGTAAGTAGTCCGTCCCTAAAACTCTCCTGATATCATTAAGCTTGCTACAATTTGTGCTTACTAAGACATGCAATTATCATAAGTGTGTGATTTCTGTAAATAATTTGGTGATATTGCACTTGTCAGCTAGCGCGACGGGTAAGAGACTACTAAGAGTACTATCACAAAGGCCACTGATAACTGAAATACAGAAGGACAATGCTCTGCTAAGGGCAAAACAATTTAAATCCAAGAATCCTTTCGGTCTTCAGATAATGAAGGAGTCTTATGTATATGTGGGATTTTTCTTGGTAATGTTACCTTCTCCACATATGTCACTACTTCTATCGAATTAAAGACTATCTCTTCTTTGTTAGATTTCTAGAACCATTTCTTTTTGTATGGGCACGAAGAGCACTGTGTCGTTTGGTTGGCTAGCTGTGTGAAACCACCAAGAGTTATTCATGGATGATCTTATTCTTTTGGGCATGAACAGGATGCTTTAGTGCAAATTTTGAATTACCACTCATTTAATTTTCTATTTATTTTATCTCAGTTAGAGAATTTTCTTGATGACTTTGCTCAGTGAATTCATTGATTTCAAGTTTTCAACATCTGTCTCTGCATCTGTACTTAGGAGATAAATTTCTGCTGATCTTTGTCGACAAAATTGTCAAGTTGTGTGAATGACGTGATAACTCGAGTGATGGAGTATATGGTTGTCAATCCAAATTATACATGTGAAGAGACTAGAAAAACATATTGTTGCAAAACTTTGACAAAGATATAACTTGAAATAAAAATCCCGCCAAATTAATAACCCGAAATTTGGGCTGACCTAGTTTAGGACACAGTAGGGAAACAGTTATATTTCAGGTCTTTTTTTTACCACTGAATGAATAGCGCCAAAAGGCCTGAAATAAATCCAGGAAATATGTGAGCACCCGTGCCAAGTCTAGGAGTTGAACCTGAGTGGACTGGTTCGCAATTATATTTCAGAGTCTAGACAGTAGTCGTGTCGTATACCTCTGTATTTGATCATTGCCTTATTTGTGCTGTTATTCCTTTCCTGAATCACTTCCTTGTATTGCAGAATCTACCCTGTGAATTTGTAAGGGAGTGTCTTCCCCGTGCCCACAGGAAGTTAAAGCTCTGGAATCCACAAGGAAAGTCTTGGGATGTTAACTATGTCTACTACAGCGAACGCTGTGGTGGCGGTTTGAGTGGTGGCTGGGGCAAGTTTTCTCTAGACAATAATCTGGAGAAGTTCGACGTGTGCGTCTTCGAGCTCTTCTCGAAGGACAACATAAAAGTACACATCTACAGAGTCGTCCCAGAAATAACCCCATTCCTCCCTGGTCCTGGCAAGAAATAACAGTCATGTGCACATGTTGAGGCAGTGTTCTCTTTCATTATCTAAAAAGTATATGTGGAGCTCTAGAAGGTTGCAGAGGCAGTGGGGTTCCCTCCTTTTCGAAGAAAAATGGTGCTAGAAGGCAATAAGAACACAATATTCAATTATTGGTGACATTAAAAAAAATTGACTCTCTAATAAACGTAGCTATGTTCTTATTGGATTGTGGAGTAAATCGGTTAGCCCCAGTCGTATCTGTTCGAGAATAACCGTGTAGCGTTGCTGCCATTTGTAGTTCTGCATTATTTGAACAGAGTGTGTTATTTCTACTAGGTTTTATTGAGGCCCTTCAGTTTGCAGTTATAACTTTAAAACTTGTTGATGTATGTCGTTGCATTTTTGCGTCGATTATCGTCGAATAATATCTGCCTGGGCAGAAAACCCCACATGGGCTGATAATGATATGTGCTTCACTGCTTGTGCATCTCTGGCCAGCCTTGCCTTGTCTGGTGGTTGCAAACACGTGGCTCTAGTGTGCAGCTGAAGGCTTGGGTGATGAAAGGAGATGATCGGTTGCTAACTGCGATATGTTTTGGCTATGAACTTGGCCTGTTCCTGGGAAAACTGTTGCCAGATACTTTCTTGTGATCTGCTTGCTCAACCACTGTTACTTTTCTAGCTGTGGACCTGTGAGGCTGATTACAGCATGCCATTCCAGTTCTAGTGTGTAGAACACAGCCTTCACCCAGATCATTTTAGTATGAGGAGCTCATTTGTGTGTGCATGTGTGGTGGTGTGAGTTGAACCAAGAGAGAAGGTCATGTTGTGATCTGACAATGGTTCATTTCTGTGTCTGTGTGTGAAGGATAGCCAACAAACAATGGCATATTGGTGTGGCACCAAACCTGACAGCGTATACAGTTCACAACCTGTCCATGTTGCTGGGAACCAACCGGCTGGTTGCTTCACTTGGTCGGTTACAGTCACAGACAACCAACACTGCATGAGTAGGCCAGATCGTGACCGAACATGTGTCGGCACCTCGCGTGGCCCAGAAAAGTCTCACTTGTAAGGTCTTGATCAAAGTGACTTTCTAAGGGAGTTATGTACTATGATTGACTTCTTTGTACTCCAGTAGTGTACTATAGTAGGAGTATTAGTAAAGTAACACCAGCAGGTTAATGTTACTTGATCAGGACAATAGGTAGCATCTGAAGATGTTAGGTGGGGTTATTGTGATTAGGCCAGCAGCATGCAGAGCAAGATCATTAGGGCATCATCAGGCATGGGATCAATAATAAGATCCCTAATTGGCAGAATGGTGACCCTGATGTGAGAGGGAGTGTGCTGTTGCAGTGTGTTGTTAAGTGCGACATTTATGAAGCTGGAGACTTTGGGAGGCGTCTGGTTTTCTGCTTCACGTGCTGTGTGGAGATGTTGGTGACGGTGCCGCAATTGAATGGCTCCTTGATTTAGGTAGGTTCCTGATGGCGATGCACCTGCATCTACGAGGTTGGTGACAGACAACCTTTGCCATGCTCATCCCATCCCAATGCCAACAACACAATTGCCAACACAACTTGCTTCAGTCACAAAGAAAGATTAGATTAACCGAAGAGCAATGTCCAAGGAATTGTGATCTCAGTCATCCTAGTGCTGTTGATAAACATGTAATGCACTTGATCCAAAGCCAAAATTTAGATGATTCTGACGGAAAAACTATTGTTTGTAGTTGGGAATATACTGATGCCAAGAAGAACAAGTTGATCAAAACAAGAGAAAGATGATGAAGAGGAATACACTCTTCAGCCAAAAAGAAGTCTTGTGAGAAAAAGCAAAATTACACATGTAGAGTATATGATATACGTAGTATCAACTATGCACACACTACTGAGTAGTGACTGATGCACCGCACCAATAATTTCTGCATTGACTTCTGGAGCTCATCTGGTGTGATCAGATTGACGCGGTTCTTCCGCTCCTGGATTTCTTGACCAGGAAGAGCTTCTTGAGCAGCCTGAACATCAGCAGCAGGCTCCACCTCCGGCGCCGGACCACCATGTGCCTGCCACTGCCACTACGCTTCCTCGCCTCGACCACACCGCCGTCGTCGCCCTCGCCGTCGCCGTCGCTGTAGAACCACTCGGCCTCCTTCATCATCGTCATCGCCATCAGCCCGCCCCCCTTGCTCACGGGGCTGAGAGGGCACACCGGCGGCGCGCGCGCGAGCTCTTCGTTGAAGTCCTCCCACAGCATGTCCATCCTCTCGTCGCGGCCCCTCGGCGAGCCGCTGCTGCCGTCGTCCTCCTCCTCCGCGACGGCGGCGACGAACCACGGCGGAGGGAACGGCGCGAGCTTGCACTGCCCGCCCGGGACAGTGGGGAAAGTGAACTCATCCATGGTCGAGCTCGCTAGCTAGCTGCTTTCTTGCTTGCTTGCAAAGTTGCAAATCCCTATGGTGTAGTGGCTAGCGTGTATGTATCTGTCGACCGCTCGATTCATTTATATATGGAGGTGTAGTCTGGTACTATGAGGTACGTGTACGATCGCGAGCGGTAGTGGTAATGGAGGTTCCATCAATTTCACCTTCATGGACGGTGGAACATCCTCATCTTGCAGTACTAAACTGAACTGTGCCGGGAAAAGGCATGGTGCATAGGAGAAGTGCATGAATGAATCCGGGTACATATGAACCCATTTTAAAAAACACATTTCTAAATGCTAAAAAAATCTGGAAAAAAAATTGCACGCGTACGTCTTCATGTTCTATGTGCGTGCATAAAGTTTCATGGAAAAATAACTTTTTGTGTGGCCTGTACAAAAAAGGCAAAAAATTATGTCGTGAAACACTATTTAGAAGCACTGAAATTTGTCTTTTTTGCGAAGGCAAAACAAAAAGACATTTTTTCATAAAACTTTGTGCCGCGTACACACGTTTGCGAACATGTATGCGTGATATTTTCTTTTGATTTCTTTAACATTTAAAAACGTGCTTAAAATGCATTTTATGAAAAGTGGGTGCATATGCCCATGGGTTCAGATGGTGCCCTCTCTGGTGCATAGGTGCTATCTGCTGTGGTTGGCCAGAGCTAAGCTTCAAGAGATGGACGGCTAAGCAAGTGATGATGCGGTGATGATGTGCCAGGTACGGGTAACTTGCTTCCGTTCCAGGGGATCAAGCTCTCTCCCCCCTGACGAAAGTTGACAGTAAGCTATTGCGGGTGGGAAAAGCTGGTCAGTGGGTTGAATCAAACACCGAAGTTGATCAAGCTTGAACAAGTTTACATAGAATCAAATTTTGGGTTCATAAAGTAAATTTGATTTCTATTGACAATAGTATATAACATTTTGATTTTTATAAAATACTCAGAGAGATGCAGTAATGCAAACCATCAATAGAAAGTTCAGCATACTGAAAGGATGGTCGGCGAAATTTGGTGTACTGAACCAGGACGTCTCCTGATCTCTAGCAGTCCAACCAGTGTAACACGATTGATACACAACTCTTAATCCACTAGCTCGGTATTACCCTGGTAATTGCCTAACTTAAACCCAAATCAAGCAACATTCAAGCATTTCAACCCATTCAAATTGGATTATATTATAGAAAGACAGATCTTCACATGATACATGCGTGTAGATCGACCTACCTTCTCTTACCATGTTTCTGATGGTTTTATCAACCCCCCCCCCCCACACACACACACACACACAAAAAATGTAATCGGTATCAAGATATCGAAATAAATATATTGCCTGCCTCTTCCCATCAGTTTGGACTTTCGGGGGTAATTTACTGGAGCATGAGTTCAATATGATCTCGGGGTCAAGTGGTCTCGAGTTCCAGACTGCCAACAGAGTGTTAAAAGAAAGATTACGCGACCTACAACAATCCCACATCTAAGAACTAAATAAATCTAGACATGAGGGGAGTGTTAAAATATATTGTCCGTCTCTCTCCATCAGTTTGGACTTTTGGGACAGCTGGCTGGAGCATGAATTCAATACAATATTTAAATAGATTTTTCTTTTGCCTCTTTGACTTAGCAATATGAAAAATTTAAGAACGGGTCTTGCACACACACATGGGCTAAAATGACAGATTTCTAAATGTTTTTCCATGTAATCTTCATTTTGCCCAACAGAAAAAGAAGGAAACTAGTGTCCGTGGGACATGGCAATGGTTGGAAAAATCAATACATGGTGGATACCTAAACACAAATTAAGTTCATGATCAAGAGATGGGTAGGTTGTAGGTAGAATAGAATAGCCATGGAGGACCTGACTCCGACCTTCCTAACAGAAACTGCAAGATGCTGGATGCTGGACCAACCAATCACATGCATGCCGAGGTGAAAAAAAAAAGCAAAGATGATTGGTGTTGGATGGAAGGCTAGGGTGACTGAAAAGCAAAGGGAAGCTAACACACCATGAATAGTGTCACAATGGTTTTGAATGGAGGGAGCGGGCATAGATATGCACTACGTGCTCTCTTCTGATGGCTTTCTGCCAAAGATGTGAATGTTGCTTGGAAAGTGGTGTCTTTTCTGGTGAAAGAGTAAAGATGACTGAATGAGGTGTCTTTGGTTGTCACTGACAAGAAGGGGGGAAAGGAGACTGAATGGATGAGCGATGGAAATGTCTTGTGGTGCATGATGCAACAGTTTGTTTTGGATGGATATGCATTGTATTTCTTGAAGATTCTGGTTTGTGAAAGAGGCCATGATGGGATGACATGCTAGTCTATTGCATTTCAACAAAGGATCATCATAGTCTCTGTCCATGTGGATTATAGTTTCTGGGTGTCTAGATCTGTACCAGATTGAAGTCAATGTTGTTTGATGTAGCAAGGTGGAGACTCAAAAGCATAAAAATGTGTTTAATTTAATAGCAGTGGAAAGTATGTAATGGAAATGAAAACTTCAGAACATGTATGGATGAGAATATATCCAGTGACATGTATCTTACTTTGTGTCATCGAGTTCACACATTTTACATAGTAATTCGAATGGTTTAAATGT